TTTGTTTGACTGTATTAGAGGGAATATTGCTAGCCTAAAAGAACTGGAGGATAATTACTAACAGGAGTTTCATGTAGTGTATACCTGTAATAGTTAAAGACACGGCTGCTTAAACTTATTCTGACAATTGCAGCAGCACTGGAGGAGCTATCTGAATTATTCATTTTGCCACGAGAAAACATGCCACTTGTTTTTGCTTCAGAACTCAATGCCCAACCTTATTTAAAGTACACTTTTATGGGGGAGGTTTTAAGTGAATTGTGCTGTGTCAGGACTTCTGCTGTAATTGCCAACGAAAGCAGATTCTTAAAGAAAATACTTAGGGTTTCTAAAAGAAGGGGAAAATTGATTTTTCACATGAGCTGCTTTTTGTAGGGAGAAGTTTAATGAAATTCAGCTTTCTTTCATAAATAATGCAGCACTTGCATTTGATTATGTGAAGCCTAGAGGAATTTCTGCCTAATCAGATACATAGCAAGAGGGATGTTGCCTACAGACTGTTACCATTACCGATGATGTACGTGCAGGTGGAGGGGTCCATCCAGATGGAAAGCTCTGTGTCATAAAAGAAGCTATAGGACAACATGTAAATTTGAACAGTTGACTCTCAGCATCTCAAACTGCCACAGCTATTTATAAAACAAAGTCTGTGTTCTGTGCACTGTTGTTACTACTACTGGAGTGCTTAGAGGCCCCAACTGAGAGTGAGACCCCATTGCTGTACAAACACATGGGACGAGAATGCCCCTGCCATAAAGAACTTTATGTTCTAAACAAGACAGACTGACAAAGGGGGACACTGGGCTACATTTTGAAAATCTTCTTTTTAAAAATATACAAAATTGGCAGGTGTCTCAGTTTAATTAATAATAATAATAATAATTAATAATAAAAACCTAGAACCCTTTTGTACGTGCAAATGATCTGCAAACTTTGTGGGACTGTTTTTAGAGGCCTTGAATCGATTAAGCCATGAGGTGTAACCTGAGTGCAAGCTTACAGTGTTCTCTCAAGTCTAGCCAAGGTCTATGTTCTAATCTCTCATTTACCTCCCTGACGTTGATACTGAAAACACTGGAGTTCGTGCACAGAAGGCAGATGGAATAAGACCATGATCCCCTTAGGGTCGGACTGTGTCCCTTCCTGCCCCCTTATTGCATTGAGTAGCATCTTACTCCTTGATTTCAATGGCACTACTTGCAGAATACAGTATTCAACATAACTAAGAGTGGCAGGATCAGACCCTTTCTCATGAACCCATTGAACACCATGTCATCTCACTACACGTTGTTTTTTCTCTGCTGCTATCTCTTCTCCTAATGCTTGTTTGGATGTGGTGTGTGTGACAGCTCTGGTTTTCTATTGCTGGTAAAATTACAAATGGCTTCGACAAAAGTGCTCTAAATTTAGGACCAAATCCTCAGCTGGTATAAATTGGTAAAGCTCCGTTGACTTTAATGGGGCTAAATCAATTCACACTGGCTCAGGAGCTGGTCCTTAGGGTATATTATTTTTTGTAAAGGGCCACATGACTATAAGTAAATCTAAAGCACATGAAGTACAGCCTAGAACAGCTGGAAGAAGTGACTGCATACTGTAATTTACTTCATTTGATGGCAGAGGCTTTAATGCGAGTTCAAGTCCTTTATTTATGGAGCCGCTGGTAGGAGTTACACAGTTGAAGGATGAAACCAGCTCTGTATTTTCAACTTGAGTTTTCATTCCCTTCTAAATTTGCCCAGAAAATTCCCTTGGGACTAAAATTTCATGTGAACACTCCTAGGCCAGAGAATTTATTTCTGAAAGTTTGAGGGGAAAAACACTAGTTAAAGGGCTGTAAAATGTTAATATATTTCAGACTTTTCCAATAAGTGTCTTAAGTCTTTGGTCCACTTAAACACAACATGGTGTCAGGTGTTAAAACCATCTCCTGCTTTGTGAGCACTGACTATAAAGTAATGCACAGGTTTGTTTTGAAGCAGAAATAGAAAAAAAAATTGACCTAGAAAAGTCCCTGAACTTTTTTCCAATGAAATCAATGGCAAAATTCCCATGGACACCTATGGAAACAAAACTGAGCTCTAAGATGTCTGTCGGTCTGTCTGTTTGGTGGCTACATTGAACCTTATCCCAGAGTCCCATGTATGGAGTGGCAGCATAGCTGTGCCATCCCTGAAGCAGCCCAAGAAAGCTGCTGAGACTTGATTCATCCCTGTTGCCCTATAGTTCTTGGGATGAGGAGTTTCCTACAGCATGTACCATCTTGTGTCCATTCAGTTCTGCTGTCTAGTGCATTTGGGGGATTGACTCAGGGCTTTACTCATTTCCCCCATAGCCCCCAGTCCCTGCCCACCTGCTCATGGGGTGGAAGTAGCAGTTCGGTGGAGCCTGCCCTTCCTTCCACACCTAAAGGGGGACTACAGGCTGGTTGTACGGGGAGATGATGGGCTTCCGTGCCCCAGTGCAGCTATGTTAGGGTCAGCCACAATTTGTAACTTCATTTGTAACTCATTGTTTATATGTTAGAAGACCCATTAGGGAAAAAGCGCACTGAATGAGAGGTAAATAATTGTACAGTTGGTGAATGGTGGTGCCGATGGACTATTTAGATGTGCAAGATAAGGGCTTATACATCCACGAACTGTCAAGTAAACTTTCGCAACTGAGTAGTTGCAGCAACCAAAGTCTCTCATGGATGAACACGAGGAATGTTGGCAGAATATTTAGCCATCAGTCGTAGTACAGTGGCAGTTAAATAACAGACTATGTTTTTAAAATGTATATGGTTGCATCCAGGAAATACTGAGAGATCAGTTACACAGCTATTAGTACCTGTACATTAGGGATTGTGGGGTAGGAATAAAATGATTTTGAGACATTTGATCATGCATATTTGTAGAAAGTTACCTATGTTTTCCACCAGAGCTGCATCACTAGTTGTCTGAGTTCCCTCATACCTTTCCAGGTCCTCCCACAAACAGGCCTCTTGCCAGAATTGTTCATATGCCACAGACCCAGAACGAGACTGGTGTAAAACTAGAATATAAAATCAGTGACAAAATACAAACATTTTCCTGGTACTTAAGAAAAGAAAATCCCCAGGCTGTCATTCATGACATCATGAGAAAACATGGGGTGAAAAATAGGGAAATTACCAGATAAAGTCAGTGTTCTGTTTAACGGAGGCACTTATGTGGCCCCCATTACTATGGTATCTGAGCACCTCCATCTTTAATGTATTTATCTTCACAGCACTTCTGTGAAGTTGGAGAGTAGTATTACCCCTATTTTACAGATGGGGAACTGAGTCACAAAGAGACTAACCACAGCGCCCACGGTCATGTTGGAAGTCTGTGGTGGAACTTAGAATTCGAGCTGGGTCCCAAACCAGCATCCTCACCACTGGACCGTCCTTCCTCCTTAGGGTTCATAACAGGGTTACCATATGTCCGGGTTTTCCCCGGTACGATCTCTTTTTTGGTTCTCTGATCTCCATCCAGGCTGATTTTTGAAATATGAACAAATGTCCGTGATTTTGAGCTGGGCGGCTGGAGAGCCGTGTCTGTTGGCCGGCCACCCAGCTCTGAAGGCAGCACCACTGCCAGCAGCAGTAGCAGCAATGCAGAAGTAAGGGTGGCCTGGTGTGGTGTTGCTGTACCTTCCCCTTTCCCACTCACCCTCCATCTGGCAGCGTTCTCTATTTCAGAACTTGAAATATGAAAACCCTGGCTCATAAGAGACACCCCACCAGCAAAATCAGTTCTGAAAGAGCTACAGAGAGCAGGGCTGGAGAAGCAGCTGTGCAGTGTTTAAACGAAACTTCAGTTTATCTGGATTAAAGCTCCCAAATCAGATTCTTATGAATTCAGGCAAGAAGGTGACAGGAGGTAGGCAGAAAAAGCAGTCAGAGATGAGAGGCTAAAGAGAGAGGGGGAAAACTATCTGGGAGCACCATGCCCAGCACAATAAGGCCCTGAAGTTGATTGAGGCCTCTGGGTGTTACTGTAATGTGTTTATTTCATAATAATAATAATAATAATAAACTTACACCTTCACTATCTTCTCTCTCTAGGAACCCGCATTTCATTTCTCACTTTTTAGGGAAACAAACCAAAATACTGACTTAGGAGCCCAATTTCAATTGAAAGTTGAGATTGGTGTTGGACCACAAACTGCTGTGAATTCAGTAAAATTTCACAACAGATGAATTTGGCATGTTGTGCAATGTTATTGCAACACAGAAAGGCTGAGTTAAGGCTCTATTTTGAACTGCTAATTTTTTACCATTCAGTTTATATATTAACTAGACGTTAAGGAGAATTCATACTCACAGGCAAAAGTGTATTTCCAAAGTTTGATCATTTTGTTTTATCTGGATAATGTTCTTCTACAGCTGATTTTGTAAGTGGGAAATGACTCGAATGAAATGTTTTGTTTTGAAATTGAGATTGTCCCTGAGTTTTATTTCAACTTTTATTGGTGAAAATGGAAAAATGTTAGAAAGGAGGGTTTTTTTGGTTTTCGGTGGAAACAAATGGAAAAAAAAAACAGAAATGAATGTTTCTCATGAAAATTTCCATTTTGACGGAAAAAATGTCAAAAAAAATGCAAATGAAAAATTTTGACCAACTATAACCACTCTGTCTTTTGCTAGGAGGACAAGCTATATAATAAACATCGTCCTTCACCCCAGCTGCCGGGAGAGCTGTAAAAATAGGTCTTATTTGCATTTTTCTCTGGAGGCTGAGCACATTTCCCCCCATCCTTTCTTTAGAACGACTATCTTGCACATGGTGTCTTTGCTCCAAGACTCCCAACTCTTTCTCAGCTGCTGCAGGGGAGGAGAAATACGTCAGCATTGATCAGAAGTTTATTTTCACTTACAGAAAGGAGAATAACTGCAGTAGCCTCGTCTGGTATTGGGAAGAGAGAGTATTAAAGCTGATAGCTTTGTTTGGCAGTATCTGAATTACTATGATTTGAAATGTCCCCTTTCCCAGATTGTACCCTCGTCATGCGAGTGCCCTGAACAACCTCGGCACGTTGACCAAAGACTTGGTGGAAGCAAAGGAATACTACAGAAGAGCTCTTCAGTTAAACCCACAGCATAATCGCGCTCTCTTCAATCTTGGAAATCTGCTCAAGTAAGTTTAACATTGAGGTCTAACAGCTTCGATAAAATTAAAATACTCCCCCCTCCTCGCCCTACTGCCCTGTTACAGCAGCAGATTGTCTTCTCAGTGGTAATGAAGAGTGATGTTAAGCTCTCACCAGGACCTCTTTGGGTTTTAGGGCAGAGGTGCTGGTTGTTTTTTGGTTCTGATGTGCTCTTTGTTACTTTTTTGCTAGCTGCGAGTTTACTTTTTGGGAAGACACACCACTTTGGCTCAGACCATCTTGCAAAGAAGCTAGCCAAAGAAAGAAAGTTAGCAACGTTGGGCCAGATCCTTAGCTCCATTAAGATGCCTTTCCACCAGCCTGCTGGCCTGCAGGTGCTCAAAACCAAGTGCCTCCATCCATAGGCAGGGATCCTCTGGTGACACAGAGGGACAGTAGTGAAATGTATGTCACTCAATTCCCCCACTCCCATCCTTGTGGTCAGCAAGTTGTGGGGCTCATGACTGGCGAGAGGGGGCATGGTTAGGGCGTCGGCTGCTGGGGCAGCTCAGTAGGGCTATCAGCTGCTTGTACAACTTAAGACAGCCCTTAGGCTGCTCTAAATTGCACCAGGGAACTGGGGATCCAAAATCAAGGGAGCGAAGTTGGCTTAAGGCCACCTGCTGAGTTGCACCAAATGCTCCTCAGCTCAGAGTCTGGCCCCTTGTTATTTTTTACATTCGATCATAGGCTAGGAACAAAGAGGACAACACTAAAAATCTTTTGCTAATATAGTACTATCAGTTAATGGTTCGACTCCTTTCTGTGCCAGCAAAAGCTCTCGTGTAGCTGTTGTTTATGCTAGTAGAAAAGTGCTTTTGTCAGTATAGCTTGTGGCACGTGGGGAACCGGTATAAGCTATTATTTAGTATAAATAATATAATAGTATAAACTATTATAAAGCATTGTTTTTTCCCCCATGTAAGCTGCATCTGCAGTACGAGGGTTTGCCTGTATAGCTATGCCAGCAACCCTTTTCTAGTGTAGACCTGGCCTTAGTATTGGGTTGGTTACAAAACAACATTATCTTACCAAAACGTATTTTAGCTGTACTGTTCTAAATGTTGCTTTGAATAAGGCTCCGTATCAAAGGTAACAAAAGGCTACAGTACTTAAATTCTGCCTTGTACCGGCTACACATTATTGGTAATGGAGAATTCACCATGATAACCTTACCCTGGGGGGGGGAGGGGGGGCAACCTGAGTCTGAGAAGGAGCCAGAATTTACCAATGTACATTGCCAAAGAGCCACAGTAATACGTCAGCAGCCCCCCATCAGCTCCCCTGCTCCCCCACTCCTAGTGCCTCCCGCCCACCGGCAGTCCCGCTGATCAACGCCTCCCCCTCCCGATCAGCTGTTTTGTGGCGTGCAGGAAGCTTTGCGGGGGACGAGCGAGGACACGGCAGGCTCAGGGGAGGGGGTGGGAAGGGGTGGAGTGGGGGCAGGGCCTGCATCAGAGCCAGGGGTTGAGTAGTGAGCACCCCCCCGGCACATTGGAAAGTTGGCGCCTGTAGCTCCAGCCCCGGAGTCGGTGCCTATACAAGGAGCCGCATGTTAACTTCTGAGGAGCCGCATGTGGCTCCGGAGCCACAGGTTGGCCACCCCTGACCTTACCAGTCAGTACTACTGGTTTGGACTAATATGTGAAGAACAAGGCATTCCTGAGAAATAAAAGAGTAGGTCAATATTGTATAGAACCATTGAAAACACAAATTTGATCCAAAAGGCAAAAAGAGTTCTTGCATTATTCATTACAGTTGGCTGAAGTGCTCCTGAATTTCTCTGATCCCCAGTTGGTGAGGACCATTCCGAAACATCCTAACATAGAGAAGTGCAGATCAGCCTCTAAGATCAAGGGGGTGCATAAAGCCACATTTGCCCCCCACCCTCAAATGCCCTAAGTCAGCCCATTATCTCCTATATCCTGACCAAGTTCTAACATGGGTAATTACATTCTTTCTGTTGTGGTTCATGTCCCCTCTTAAAAACCATTGCACAATGAGGCTGTTAAACAGGCTCTGTGTTCCATCCCAAAGGCAGCTGCTTTAAAGCAGCGGCTGTGTGAGTTCTGTAAGTGTTTTTGAATCCTTCAGGTTAAGAAGCGCTAAAAAAAACCAATTATTACTAAGACCACAGCTTTTAGAGCTATTGCAACCTGTAATAAAGTTGAACTTAGATACACAGCCTGATTCTCTGTTGCCTTGCACGAAGTATAGACCTCTGAACCTGCGCAAAATGCATACAAAACTCTGCCACTGGTGTAATGGAGAACTCCGATTTGATAACATTTTCTGCCCACTTTGCACAGGCATAAATGACTACACCAGGGAAAATCAGTGGAGAACCAGGCCTGCAGTATTTAAAACATATCCGTTAATAGTCTTATTTACACTAGGACATTGGAAAAATTATTCTGAGGGAAGTCCGAGTCAAATTCTGCAGAGTTTCTTATGTTTATATCTACTTATTTTGGAGGAAGCCTGCTGTGCACTTCATTAGATTGCACTACCGCTGGAGTTTCGAGAAAAGGGAACTTCAGTATTTTGGAGAAATGAATTTGCTGTTAACGTGTACGAATCTGCCTCTCCTTCCCCTTTGGAAATAACCTGTCTATCCAGACAGCTGTTCCCAGTGATCTGGGCTTGAGTAAATTTGTTTTGGAATCCACAAGATGGAATCTTTTGGTTTTTTAGAGTAGTCCCATTTTAAAAAAACTTTCCATTTCCCGTTTTGGCCACAGTACTGACAGCAAGGGGCCAGAAGATGAATTTTCACAGGAAGCACTACATGATAACAATGAGTTAATGAACCCCTGGCTTTGTTTACATACTCTGAAAGAAACTTGAATGGCATCATTTTCTTGCCTTGTATAAATATCAGACAAAGGATAGCTAAACCGTGCAAACAGCTTTCTCAGTAAAAAAGCAATCACTAATAGACTCACTTCAAATGAAAAATCACATCTCCATCCTTTTGTAGCCCATGATCGTCATGGCTCAGAATGCCTCTCCCTTTGAGCTTAATATTTCTTTTAAAGCTCTGCATCATGGAGATATCTAACTCATGTCTATATATTCAGAACTGGTGAGATTTAACTTGCAAAAACAGAGTAATATGGAGTATTCATACCAGAATTTCTCATACAGATTTTTTGAAGAATTCCGTTAAAAAAAGATATAACAGTTTGTAAATATATAGGAGAAGTGAATACGCATGAACACACATACATGTGCACACATAACCCTGAGTTTGTTGCTGCAGGAAGAATAGGAGAGAATGTCCTTTTTGCTGTATCCCTTCAAATGTAAGGATATATAACAGGCAGTACGGCACCTCTGTCTAATAAAAACTTCCATACTCTGTGTACTGTAAGTATGTTATGGCTACACTTTCAAAGAAAAGATTGAATGCCTCGAGGCCTGTTAACTGAAATCTAGAGCTTATTCCTAGGTCAGACTACACAGTACATAGAGGAGCATGCAAGATGTCTAGTACAGTTATTGCAATGATTTAGCCCAGGTTTACCAAGACCACCTATCCTGAGGAGGGAGAGATGTCAGTCTGCCCTCTCTTCTAAACTTCTCAGATTCAGACTGTGGGCCATAGGTGTGAATGTGCTGAAATAGCCCTGTGTGTTTGTCTGAACGGGGCAGAGGGTATCATGGATAAGTTAAATTCATCAGAAACTTTGCATGATTAATAGCTTTTGGAGATTAAAACATTTCCCCTTCCCACCAAACGATCAAACCGAATGCTGCTATATCTTAGGGACATCAGTCCAGAGTTTGGGTAGAGTCTTTGATTTGAAACTCTACATTGTACTGACAGTATAAGCATGCTTCTTGAACCAAATCATATATATATAACTTGTTGACCACAGTACTGTGTACATAGTTTTACCCCTTTCAGAAAAATGTAGCTATTTTAAAACTGGAAACAGGAAGATTCTGTATTGTAGATGGATGCCAAAGGAGTAAGTTGTCCGTATTCATTTTAACACACATTGTCCAATTTGTTTAGATATTTATTTACAGATAAGCGTAGCTAGAGACAGTAGATGTCTTTTGCTTATGATGCTAAACCAAGATCTTTTCTCCTGGCTTTTGGTAGCTATCCAAGTAGAAGTTAAAAGACTCCATGGCATTTTGTTTGTGAGAAGAGGATAACTCCTGTGGCTTGGCTGATATATTTTCTATTGAGGAAAACTCTGTTAAGGTTGTGTGTGAGCCACTACTGAGTGCACAGTGGACCCAGTGTTTGTGCAGACATTGTTCTACCAGTATCTAATGCTTTACTTTATGAAGTCATTTGGGATATTTTGAAAGTAAAAGGTGCTACAGAAAATCAAATCCTATGCTATTCTTTTCTCTGCCTGTGAAATTTATCCCACTGCAGAGACCCCTCACAAGGCCCTATGAATCACTTAAGCTCCATGTTATGGGTTTAAGTGGTACCTCGGCCTCTGTGTAGGATGAATTTCACCCTCTCTGTATAGCAGTGAAGGTGTCCATTCATCTGGCTTTTGCCATGATAGATAACGAATGCATAGAAAATAAGCATATCAAAAAATCCTCCCTTTGCACCATACAATATGAGATTAAACAAATCGTTTTTAAAATGAAAAAAACCCATACGGCCTCCATCCTGCAAGATGCTGAGCACTTTGGCTCTGATCCAGAAAAGCATTTCAACACATCATTAACTTTCTACTTATGTGCTTAAAGTTAAGAATGTGTAAATGCTTGGCTACATCGGGGCCAGAGTACTCTGCATCGTGCAGGGTTGCGCCCTGTTAGAGGTTGTTGTATCTGTTCTTTTCATATAATTTGGTCTGTCACAACAAAAAGATTCCGTAATCTTTTCCCCCTTCCCTTTAAGGAGACACATTGTTCTGGGATCAAACAAAAACGGCTATTCAGAAAAAAAGAGTCATTAAGAGTGCATGCTTGTGGTTAATGGGGACTTTTACTGCTGTCGAGTGGATCACTTAATCCTTTTATTTCTGTATCTGGCATTTCCTACATTCCTGCCAAACCGTTGATAACTTTACAAAGCAGACGTCTGTTTTCAATTTATATAAATGTGTCACAAAACTCCAGCCAAAGCATCCAAAAGTTTTCTGAATTGACAAACTACCTAGCCTTTAATTAGTAAGGGGGAAAGTGGTTCTGTATTTGTTTTTGCTTATTTGGATAATTCAGATTGAGTACCACTGTAAGAAGGAAAAGACTAGCCCAACTGTTTTTACTTAACTTAAAGCACAGGGAAAATATTCTTTCAGTTATATAACTAGAAAGGAGAAAAAATCTGAAAAGCCACAAATACTATCAGCTGAAATTTTCACCTTATAAACAAGATCTGATTTCTTGGCCTTGTCGCCCAGATGAAATCCAAGGCAAAGGCTGCAACTTTTCACATATATCCCATGCTTCAGAGTCCTTTGTTTCTTTTCAAAGGCTACGATGTTCATATTACTTTGTGCACCCAACACAAAGAAAGCTTGTTGGCTCAGTCCAAATAAACATCCATAGCCTCTCACCCAGGGAAGCTGCTCCCTTTTCCAAGGCGAGAAATACAGTAAACCCTTCCACTGCAATGGGAGCTTACCACATTAGGCTTTCCACAACCATCTCTGGCCATGCCCTTCCTAGGAGCAGAGTCAGGGACTCTCCCCAGCCCAGCAATGGTCAAGATGCTTGGGAATGGAGTTAGTGATACTGGGCTGTCAAAAACATGAAAATATATTCCACTTAAAATGTATACTATGCCTATATAACACATTTTTATCTAAAGGATCTCAAAGCACAAACAGCTTTAAGGTTCGTAAAGCCCTTATGGAGTATGTAAGTTTTATTATCCCCATTTTGTGGATGGGGGAAGCAGAAGCAGAGAGAGGTTTCCCATAAGTGACCTTTTCCAGGTGAGTCAGTGATAGACACGGGAATAGATCCCAAGCGTCCTGACTAGCAGCCCACTGTTCTAAACCCTAGACATTTCTTCCCATAAGGCAAGTGACTTCCTAATGGCTTCTGTGGGAGAGTTCCATGTCAGGGGCAGGGCATTGTGCTCTGATGAAATTTTCATTAGCTTGCCTTTGACTTATATCTAACTCGTGACCAGTCAGAGTTTCATAGATTTGTCCTCTTTATAGACTCCAGAATTAAAGACAAATGTGGCTGGAGTTCCATAATTTTATAAACCATTATGTTTGTATTTTTGCAAGGTGAGAATATGGCATGTACTGATTACTATGTAGACAATGTGAAATGTTTTCATGCCATGTAGAATACTGCAGAGTTCACTTGTATGCATTACGACTTATCTGTTTTGCCTTCATCTGAAGCATCAGATAATGGCCACCACTGTAGCCAGACTACCACAGTAATGGAGCCAAAGGTCTAATCCGTTCAGGAAAATCCTGTTGGCTCCAAACTCCCTTATATGAGAATAACCTGCATCAGGGAGAGGACATGCTTTTAGTTGAAACTCTCAGAAGTTCCATGATTATTTTTGTCTGTAGTGGGCAGGTTTTCTGCTCCCACAGAAGAAACCAGAGGTTGGGTTCCCTTAACCTAAAGATCTTGAGAGATACACATGATGTAAAGGATATTTGAGTGGATGCCTCTTGCCTCTCCTCTACCACATGGCCTTATTGGCTTATTGGCCTTCATAGAGCTGACTCCTGAAGAGTTAAAGTTGTGTTTCGCGTGGCTTCCCCAATCATGGCTGGTTCTAGAACCTTCCCTGACTACTCCACCTAAAACCGCCTTCTCTCTTTATAACATGGAAGGGGAAACCGCACAAATTACCAAAGCATCATGCTGTATTTTGGTTTACTCCACACCTGTCAAAAGAGGAATAACCAGAGGAGCTCAGCCAGCTTTCATGCCCCTCCCTGCCAACAGAGCTGGAATGCTGCAAAAGTTGCCAGTGAACGGCTGCTGCAGAGATGAGACCCCACATTACCATTTCTTAAAGGGATTCTCTTATCTCTTCTCAAATCACTCTGAGAGTTTCCTGGTAGGTTTGTCCAGCTGATGTCAGCAATTACTGTGAAAACAGGTCCCACTATAGGCAACGTGTTGCAGGGGAGGAGGGCATGCGGGGTCATGTGCCTTCATTTTTGCTGCTCACACAGACTGAGCATGCTCAGTAACGTCTTGTGAAGTTACTGCCCTTATTCTGCCCTTTCCCTTGCTCCCCCCAATGGCACATATTGGTCATCTCCCCTGCCTCCCCCCACCCCAAATATATAGAGAAGTGCTGTAGACGGAGAAGAATCTTTGTGTTGAACTTGTATATTTCACAGCAAGCTCTAGAAATCCATACAAGGAATCTGCAGGTGCCAAGGTACAAACTTACCATGTATCCGATAACTTCAGTTCTTGACTTTTCCTCCTCCCGCTGACAGAGAGGCTATGGAATTTTATACTGCCTCAGGAGATTCTGGTTACCTAGACTGTGGATAGAAGGCCAGAGTTAATTAGTTAGTCTTTGTTGAAAAGAACAAGACAGGGACTTTGAAGTCTTTTTGAAGTATTTAATCTATAGGTGACCTAAACATGTTCTTAAAAGAACTTTGTTTCTTTTATGACTTGCAGGTCCCAAGGGAAGAAAGAGGAAGCTGTGTTCTTATTGAGAGATTCCATAAAATATGGTCCAGAGTTTGCCGATGCTTACTCAAGTCTTGCTTCCCTGTTGGCTGAACAGGTAACCAGTAACATTTACACTTGGGTAGCTCATTCCTTCTATGCACGATGCATTGATGTTACCTTTTGACATGCCTAATTTTTGTCTGAATACAATAAAAACTCTCTCACCAATACATGAGAACAGCCATTCTGGGTCGGACCGATGGTCCATCCAGCCCAGCATCCTGTCTTCTGACGGTGGTCAATGCCAGATACTTCAGAGGGAATGAACAGAACAGGGCAATTTCAAGTGATCCATCCTCTGTCATCCTGTCCCAGATTCTGGCAGCTGAAGGTTTAGGGACATCCAAAGCATGGGGTTGCATCCCTGACCTGTCCCATCCCTATCATATATCTGTTTTTAAAAATGTAATTCTGTGAATATCTGGGTATGACAGCTGGTGTATTTTAGAATAAATTGCTTCAGAATGGCAAACCCACTTTGAGATAGTAATTTGATGGAGCTGATTTGAGGTTATGTTAGTACAGTGTGAACTCTTTTAATGTAATTGGAAAGCTTTTCAAGTTATTGAAGCTATAGAGAAATCATGATCTATTACATAGCGCACCTAGAGTGTGATAATAGGCAAACTATACAATACATTACATACAAAAAACACAGTGTTTAAAAGAACATTATTAAGGGTGCAAAGTCAAGCACTCAAAAGTTAGGAAGTGCCAGAATTAAGCTTGCTTGGGCAATCTTAATTCGGTCCCCCTTCTTCATATGCATTATGATTCAGTCTTTAATTATGTGATCGCGTACTGTTTTTACACAAGACCACTGCCTCACTCAATGTGCAGGATGGATAGTCTTCACTTAATGCACAGTTGTTCAGTGTTTTGTTTTCTCCTCAATATGTGGTTCTAGGCCTGCTTACTGCACATTGTTCAAACCCCATTCTGAAACAGAAATTATTAATTTCCTCCTGGGCTTTTCTGCTGCGCTTATCACTATAATATCTGAGTGTTTCACAAATATTTACTTTTTTTTCAAAATACTCCTGTGACATGAGTGGGTTTTATCCCCATTTTACAGATGGGGAGCTGAGGCACAAAGAGATTAAGGTCAAAAGTATCCAGTAATTTTGGGTGCCGAATTTGAGACATTCAGGACCTGATTTTTTAGAGAACATAGCATCACATAGCACTTTGTATGTTCAAAATGCAGCTCTCATTGATTTCACTTGCAACTGAGAGTGCTCAGCGGTTCTGCAAATCAGATCCCGGGATCTTAAGTTGGACTCTCCGAAAATGAGAACACGCAATCAGTGTCCACCTGTGAAAAGTTGGGTTTCAGTGACTTTAGCATCACATATGAACTCTGTGGCAGAGACAAGACTAGAATATAATTCCCAAGGCAGCATTCAACTGCCTTAACCATGAGACTGTCCTTTCTCTTCCTACAATCCCCTGCCTCATTCACTACACACCTTCCAACTTCTGCAACAAATAAGGCAAGGGTCCAACAGATGACAATTTCCTTCTCTCTACAGTCCTCATTCATCCCTAGGGCAGGTCCATCCTGTGCACTGAATAAAGCAGGGGTCCTGTGGAAAAAGTAGCTTGTGACCATGCAATTAAAGACTGTACCATAAAGCGTACAGAAAAGGAGGCCGAATGATTAGAAGTACTGGTCATAAGGTTGTCAGGACAATTAAACAATATAGTGTTGTAAGGCCGTATGTCCAAAGGAAATGTCCTTAGCTGTAGTTCCCTTGACTTAGAAATGCAAAGTCCACTAATAATGGATCTACTCCACACACAGTTTGTCCATCCTCTTGTGGGTTGTTGACTAAGTGGAGGAAAAAAAAGATGGTCTGTACCGTTTCCCCAGATGGTAACAACTTCCTTTAGCTTTTTAACACCTCCACATTTCAAACCACACAAGATTAATAGTTGACTCTGCAGTCCTTGTACTGCGTACCGCTTACAGAAACAGACCTGTTGACTTCCATGGGACTGCTCATTCAAGTAAGTTCTATTCCACATGATTAAGGGCTGCAGAGTCAGACCCTAACTGTGCAAAGCTCCTTGAGGAATACAGTACAGGAAATTCTGCCAGCATTGGCCTGATGATATATGTGTTGGGAAGGAGAAATTAGAACTCATTTTTCAGTTGCAGTCTGATTTCTTCCTTTTAAAGAAATGTATTATTTGTAGTTCTTAAAAGGAATTAAGTTCATGGCCTTTGTTCTTTCTATTTGGAGCATAATTTGGAACACACATTTTTGCATTGTTGGATACTTTTAACACACAATATGCAAAACTTATCCCAGTAACAATTTTTTTTTTTAAAAATGGTGTCTAGCTGTGAGGGAGGGAGTATTACAAGAATTTTATCTCGCACATGTCTGAAAAGGGGGTTGGAGTTACTAGAAGTTGCACACTTAATTAGCTCTCATGAAATAACTATGCTTCTGACAAACTACTGTCTCTGAGGTGGTGCGTGATGGCTAAAGAAGGCAAGAGCAGGTGGGAGTGACACAGTGAGATGGCATCTTGATTGCCTTGGTCCTACACAGTATGTTCCCCAGTAATTTGAGAGCTATGAATTTGAAATAGGCCTGAAAGTTACTTTGCTCCTGGAGTTGTAAAAGATGCTCTTAAGAAGAAAGTCTCATGCTCAAGGGATTTAGTACAGACTGCCGTAATTCAATGTCTTCTAGTCCCTTACAAGGTGACTTTCAAACCAGAGCAGACTCAACAGGAGAACACTTACACAACACACAGTTTCACTTGGTCAAAGCTTCCTATGTTCCCTTTGCTGTTTATGAAGATATTTGCGCCATTAAGCAAAGATGCCTCTCTCACTGAGAGCCCAACTCCTCCCCCTGCTTGGTCTCAGTTGCAGCTGGTTGTTTGTGCCATGCTAATATGTTGCCATGGAAATGGTTGTGATCTCAGAAAGTGTGATATCACCAGTTTTACAGTGATGCAACTCTACTGCCTTCACTGGAGTTTGTGCTGATTTACTCCGGTCTCCGCAGGATTGCCAACTCTCCTGGGTTTATCCTGCGACTCATGATATTTGATGTTTCTTCTTCAGACTTCAGCTTCCGGAGTCAAGTTGTTTTGTGAGAATCTCCACTTTTTTCTTTTTCACAAGGAGATTTCTAGCCCTTGTGGTTGCAGAGAAAAGCCAGAAAATGTGACCTGAACTCACCCTACAGGCTGAGAAGGCAAATTAAAAGCTCCCAGAAATGTTGTGTTTAAATCTCATCAAAATCTTGACGAATTCATCAATCCGTCGGCGTACAGAGTATCTATACTGAAGCACTGCAGCAGTGCAGCTGTGCGCTGTAGCGTTTTAAGGGTAGACAAGTCCTAACAGAGGATTTTCTCCGAAAGCTGCCCTTTGTTTTAGTTAAGAATTCATGATGCTAACTGTACTTCTTATTTTCCCTGGTAGAATACAAGGGGGTGGTAATTCCATATAGGGATATGCAAACTGAACATGTTTAAGAATGTTTCTGTGTGTTATCACACCCTATCTTTTTTGCTGGTAAATGTGAAAGCACTTAACTATGACAGCCATTTGCTTTCATCAAGTCATATTTTTTCAAATGCCATTAATTTCAGCTTCCCATTTCTTAAATGAATATGAAGAGACGAGCTGGTGCATTTAAAAAAAATGTGTGGGCCATATTCTGCTCTCAGTTACACCACTCTAGATCCAGAGTAAGTCCAGTGAATAAGCTCTGGGATTCACTGGTGTAACGACTGAGAGGAGAATTTGAATCTGTGTCAAGAAGCAAATACATTCTGGTCCACTCCAGGTATTAGGAAATTCCGCTGTGAGAAGATACTACAGCCAACATTTTCCAGTGCCCAACTTGGCACTCTACAGCGGCCTCATTCTGAAAAGTCCTGAGCACCCAGAATCAGGCTCCTTTTAGAGTGTGTCAACTGGGGCACCCAAAAAGGCTGGTCACTTTTGAGTATCTTGGTTTAAAGATCCTTGTAACAAAGCATAATCAGTTATTTGCAAATATATATTATATAATTGATTGGGACTAAAGTGGTGCAGTGGGTTAATAGCCTTTTGCTATTTTAAACTTAGATTCAAATCCTGGTTGTGAAAATCCCTCTTGGTGGTCTCACAAGATTATCAAACAGCTGATCTCATTTGGGAGTCTCAGGAAGAGGCCCTGGTCTGTCATTGCAGGGTTGTTCCAGATTTTTAAGGTGCAGGAACAGCAACAGAGCGGGTGGCAGAAATTTGCACAACATCTATCTGCACCATGTTTGGCTCTCACCATTAAAATGCTTTCCTTTCACAAGCATTAAATAATATCACCCACAGCAAATGTATGAACTGAGAGGGGAGAGAAAAAACAGTAATTCTTTAACACTCTTATGTATGAGCAAGCAGGTAGTTTTCTCATACCAGCTGGACTGTGGGAAGTGGGAAACCTGATAACTGCTATTCGATCAGAATTAAAGACCTTATTCTCCTCATAGTGTCTAGCTGCATACTCATGAAATTCACACTAGCTAGAAGGTGGGTAACAGCGTGCCTTTCGTACGCAGGGTGTCGCCAGGTGCATTACAAAACAAAGAATTATAGCCTGATCTTCCGGAAGTGCTGAACACCCACAGATCCCATTGAAATCTATGGGGAGCTGCAAATGCTCCTTTGGGCTCATTTGATCCTGTTAATGTAGTGCAGGGGTGTGCAGACAAGATAGCAGCATGTATTCAACAATAACTTAGAGCAGCCTTAGGGTGTGTCTACCTACAATAGAGGCTGCAGCCGCGCAGCTACGGTGCTCTAGTTGTGCCACTATAGTCCAGACACTCCCTGCGTCGATGGAAGGTTTTTTTCAGTTGATGTAGGTAGTCTGACTCTCCTCGAGGCAGTAGCTAGGTCATTGGAAACATTCTTCCATCAATCTAGCTGCATCTACCGTGGGGGTTAGGTCAACCTCACTACATCTCACAGGGTGTGAATTGTTTCATAGCCCTGAGCAATGTAGCTAGAGCGACTTACATTTTAGATATAGACCATGCCTTAGACCAGTGATACTCAGACTGCAACTCACGAGCTACAAGTGGCTCTTCAATGTGTCTCCTGTGGCTCTTTGCAACACATGATATTAAAACACTGTGTGATTTAATTGTTAACCGGTCTAAGTTATTAACCAATCAGGGTGCTTTTACTATATTATTAACCAATTAAGTTATCAACTTGCACTAAATTATTCACTTATCTGCTGTGAGAATTCTATATATAAAAACTAAATATTTCCCCTGCCCTGCTGTTGAAATATGAATTGTACTGTAGTAAATTAATTCACACTATTGTGGCTCTTTGGGGTAATGTTGATTGCTAATTTGTCTCCTGAGCCACTGGGGTCTGCGTATCACTGCCTTACGCCTTGGAATCCATTTTATTCAACAATCCACACCAGGTACTGCAGGGGCATGTGCAGGAATTTAAATGAGAATACTTTTGGAGGGGCACATTAAACACACACAAATGAAAGTTTCACATGCCCAACCCATTTCTCTGGAGGCCTCTGGCGGCGAGGAGGCAGCCACTCCCCCTGTAGCCCAGGGAAGGGAGGAAGCAGCAGGGTGGCTGGCTGCAGGGTCGTCCCCACAACCCTACAGATGCAGCCTGCAGCTTCTCCTTCCCTGCTGCTGGAGTCCCAGTGTTGCTGCCTGCTTTGCAGATGTCTGCTGAGTAAGTCGGGCTGGCGGCAGAGGAAACACCGGGGACTCCAACAGCAGGGAAGGAGAAGCTGCAGCTGTCAGGGGAGGAGGAGCTCTGCTGGCAGCCAGATGCCCTGTTGCTTCCTCCCTCCCCGGGGCTGCAGGAACACACAGGGGTGGTGCCCCTGCTTCCCCCCCCACCCCCGGCCCCCACTTTGTGCATGCCCCTGACACCAGGACAACCACTCAGGGCTGGAACTGAGTGAATAATTGCTGTTTGGCAACATTTACCAGCAACTGTGACACAGTTACCACAGCTATCTCCTGTTCTTAATGTATGGGGAAGTGGAGGTAATTGCTAGTACCCCTGTGAGGTAACAGTTGGCAAACATTGACTCTGTGAGTGAAATCCTAGCCCCACTGAAGTCAATGGAGTAACTCCCATTGATTTTAATAGGGAACAAGAGTTCACCCTATGTGCACAGCCCCTGAATACCGAGATGAAATGACATGGACTGTTGAAGTTGTGTGTGATGATAACAAGGCATTTCCATGAAATATCTGTATGCAGTAACAAAGCTGGTGTTACCATGAATAACAAATCTTCCTTTGTTTAAGGAACAATTTAAAGAAGCCCAGGAGGTTTATCAGGCTGGGATAGAGAATTGTCCAGAGAGCTCTGATCTGCATAATAACTATGGTGTTTTCTTAGTTGATACTGGTAAGTGAGATGGAGCTAGCAGATTTATGTTGCTGGCTTATTTGCTGTCTTGAGTGGGTCTGGTTTATTTAGTAGTGTATTTTTTAAAGATTGTCAAGGGCTCCCAGAGCAGAGGATGGACACACTTACATTGTAGCTTGTAAAACTCCTAATAAATACAGACTGTCCCTGCTCTCTTGAGACTGACCACAATGCTGAGGTTTGAAGAGATTTGTAACAAATGCTAACACTGTACAGCAGTGATTCTCAGTGTGTTTCCTGCCACATTTGTCTCGCCATACCAGTGCCTGCAGCTATATTCTCAAGGATGAGCAATGCATCACACAGTGGCCTGACGATCGTGTGATAATTTCCCCAGGAACACATGACCACTCAAAGCCACAGAGAGACAGACAGACACACCCATGTCACTTTTGTGGCTGTTTGTGACTCTGCTCAGTGACAAAGAAGCTGAATGCCACTGCTTTAAAATAAACAAAGCTTTGACACTACCATCATTTGGCAAAACAAAAACTTACGACTCTTGTGGGGAGAATGGATTTCTCAGCGGATTGGTAATGGGATACAGAGCCTTTCACTTCTATGCTATTGGTTCAAATCCAGCTTCCATGGCCCTGGGCAGTTCCTGGCATCCACATAATAAAAATCACCACCCCAACTGGCACCTTTTATTGGCAGTTTTAGAAGCAAGTCCAAGTTTTGACAGACACAGAAACTACCCTCTCGCTACTAGAGGTGGTCCCTGCAGAACTGGGTTGAGACATTGATGAAGTACTGCAGACATAGCCGATACCCATTCTGTGCTTCAGGCTATGCTGTTTTCACATCTAAAGTTAAAGAGGGGCAGACTCAGTTAATACTTGGAAGGGAGTCCTTGGAAAGCCAGGATCGAGAAGAAGTGGTGTTTGTGATTCTGCAGGTGGCACTCTTCCTTCTGAGTTGGTACAGATCCCTCACTCTTGTCTGATGTTAGTGGGCACTGTACTGCTGCCAGTAGAAAACAAAAGCGCTGAATATGTGGGGCCATGAAAGAAATCAGTGTGTTAAAGGCAGAAGTAGAGATTTTACCCTTGTGTCTTGACAAAGTTCAAACTTCCCTTCTAGTCCTAAACTGTTGTGTGAAGCTGCCAAGATGCCCTATTCCATTCTTGAGGTTCCATTTCAATTTAGCACGAATCCATTTCTCTTTGCACTTGTTCATTCTGCAAAGGGAAAGGGTAATTTGTTCCTGTTCTGTTGCCATACAGTTTCCCCCACACATAACTTTAAAAAAAAAAAAAGGCTGAATTTTGAAACTTGAAATGTAAATAATCCTTTTGTGGATATGACCAAGTCTGAAGACAACTGGACAATAAAGTTATGAATGTTTGAAAAATGGCTACTGCACTTATGCAATGGAAAATTGTGTTAAGTCACAGATGTTAAGTCACTGAAAGTTAATTTGAGCAGTCTACCCTCAAGTTTACTCCTCTCCAGTTAGCCTACCTTGAGTGACAGTGGCCATGCTTCAAATAACATGCAAGCCGCATAGCGTGACTGGATTAGCAGTTGATGAGATGCGCTAATTTGAATTCTCCTTCCCGGGCCAGCTAATTCAAATTAGAAGCACCACTGCCCTTAAGCTACAGCTTTTTGTGTGTAGATAGGGCTCAAGTTAGGGACAACACTAAAGTTAAAACTCATGTTATCTCTGCAGTGAAGAGAAGCCCTCAGTGGGCACACCGATAATGAGATGCACTCCTCCCTCGTGCGTAAGTGTGTACCTATTAAAGGTGCACCTAATATGTAGGCATTAGTTGGCCTTAAAGACTTAAGTTCTCTCATTAGCTGTGGGTTAAGTGCTTACTCCACTGTAAATATTAAGGCACTTCAAAGATGGAATCTTCTAAAGCATTCATTGTTCATCTGCTCATCAATGGGGGCAGTGTTAGGCCATCACTGAATATTCTACCCTGAAGGGTTATGTCCTCTGCTGGCTTTGAGGTATTTTAAGTGCTTATCATTCTCATTATGGATTTCTCTCTTGCTTTCCTTTAAAAATTCAAGGAAATAGAATAGAAAAAAGTGTTAATGTAATGTTCTATGTTGTACAGATAAGTATTCCCTACTTTTTTGTGATTAAGTTTAGGTTCTAGCCCTGTTGCACATGTGTACTGTTTTTTTCTGGCTAAAAATATAGTTTAATATATTGCTGTTTGCTGTGAAATGATTTGTCATAAAACATATGAAGGGACAGATCTTCAGCAGCTGCAAATAGACCGTTCCCGCTACGGTGATTTACACCAGCTGAGAAACTGGCCCAAGATATGCAACATCGCTGAGTTAACATCTACTGAAGTTTTCATATTTGCATTGCTGGGATGTTGGTGATTGCAACTATGCCTATGCTTATTTTGTAGTTAATATGCAGTGTGTATGTGCGTAAAGTATGGTGAGATCCTTCAGTATGAGAGGCTGTACATAAAATTATTATAAAGACAAATTCACTCCCAGGACTAGCAATCTGGCACCTTTCTTCAGCACAGAATGAACTTCAGCATTTTTTTAAAACGTGAGGTGCAGAAGAATGATTATAATTTTTCAAGTAACTTGCACAATATTTTGTTTTGTATTTGTGTCTGATCTGGTGGATTTCAGAATCGCATTTGTTATTTTGTGTGTAGATAGGTAAAATGCAGTGACACAGTGCCACCCAATGGTTCCTCTGAAGCATAGACATCTTGATTATATTCTACAAAACAAGCATTTTCTACCAATACATTCTAAATCCTGAAAATAACTACACGGCGTGGGGATTAGTGATCTGTTGGAGTCTGCCCCAGGTGCCTTTTGAGTCCTGAGTGCAAAGTCTGTGTGTGCCCACAGCCACCCAAAAGGGAATCAGTAGCCTGCCATTGTTGCAAACTGTGGAGTACGTTATTATTTGTGTATGGCTGCTGGATTTGAATCTTTTTTTCCAAATATTAAAAATGCATGGTTGTCCCGTTTAGCCTTCACAACAGTAATTCTGAGTGGAAAGAAGTAATAACACTGTAGGGGTAGGATTGAAATACCCTTTCTCTAAGTTTTGACTATATTTATTGTCAAATTAGTTTTTAGTTACTATTTTTCTTATTCCAGATTACCTGGATTTGAGAGACGACTTCTCTCTGTTCCCATTCTGTGAGTCTAACTGTCCTTTCAACTACTGTTTGTAACCCAGTAGCCACTTGCTGCTCCCACTTTCTATCAGAAAAAAATTATTTCCCTCAGTAGCCACAATCATTTTAAAACTGGAGCTGTTTGTCCTGTCTACATTTTTTTTCAGCCTCTGTCCTTTACAGCTGGGTAAATTTGTGCCTAAAGTTAGGCTCCTAAATCTCATTTTCCCCTTACTCTTTTATTTGAATGGCAATTTTCCTTTGTGCGTCATTTCAAGAAGAGATGAGACCGGATTTCTCTCTCATGATGGTTCCCACCTTCCAAGTACACTGAACACTGATGAAAGGAGTATTTTGCAACTGATGATGATGATTCTAAAGAATCAGAAGCCTGATTTAGTGCTGAAACGTTTGAGACTTCCTTAAGGCACCAGCCTAACAGTCTTTTGCTTTGCAGGGGCTCCTGAGAGAGCAGTGTCCCACTACCAGCAGGCCATCTGGCTCAGCCCAAACCATTATGTGGCCATGGTGAACCTGGGCAGGCTCTACCGCTCTCTGGGGCAGAACAAAGAGGCTGAAGCTTGGTACAAACGGTAGGTAATAGAAATAGGATGAAACTTAATAGTGCAAAGTGGTTGTGCACTTAGGGACTAACAACAAGAATTTTCCCTCTAAGCTGGGGATGTATCAGTTGGAAGCAACAGAGGAGGAGAAAGGCCTAGGTGTACTGCGTGATCACAGGATTACTATGAGCTGCCAATGTGATGTGGCCATGAAAAAAAGGTTAGTGCAGTCCTAGGATGCATCAGGCAAGGTATTTCCAGTAGAGACAGGGAAGTGTTATTGACATAATACAAGGCACTGGGGAGACCTCCTCTGGAATACTGTGTGCAATTCTGGTCTCCCATGTTTACAAAAGATGAGTTCAAACTGGAGCAGGTGCAGAGAAGGGCTACTAGGATGATCTGAGGAATGGAGAACCCACCTTATGAGAGGAGACTTAAGGAGCTTGGCTTGTTTAGCCTAACCAAACAAAGGCTGAGGGGAGACCTGACTGCTCTCTATAAGTAAACATCAAAGGGGAAACATTAGGAAGGGAGAGGAGTTCTTTAAATTAAGGGCCATTGTTGGCATAGGATATAGATTGGTCATCAATAAGTTTAGGCTTAAAATTAGATGCAGGTTTTTAACCATCAGAGGAGTGAAATTCTAGAGCAACTTTCCAAGGGAAGCAGTGGGGGCAAAAAACCTAATTTGTTTTAAGACTGAGCTTGATAAGTTATTGGAGGGGATGGTATAATGAGGTTGCCTAAAATGGCATATGACTTACCCATGACAGCTATTAGCAAATGTCTCCAATGGGAGATGGAACACTAGAGTGGGAGGGCTGAGTTACTACAGATAATTCTTTCCCTGGTATCTGGTGGTGGGTTTCACCCACATGCTTAGGTTCTAACTGATCACCGTAATTAGGGTCAGGAAGGAATTTTCCCCAGATCAGACTGGCAGAGACCCTGCAGGGGTTTCACCTTCATCTGCAGCATGGGGCATGGGTCACTTTCTGGTTTGAACTAGAGTAAATGGTGGATTCTCTGTATCTTGAAGTCTTTAAATCAAGATTTGAGGTTGTCAGTAACTAAGCCAAAGGTTAGTTACCTAGTACAGGAGTGGCTGAGTGAGGTTCTGTGGCCTGTGATGTGCAGGAGGTTAGACTAGATGAATACAATGGCCCCTTCTGGCCTTAAAATCTATGGGTACATCTACACTGTGATAAAAGACCTGGAGCATGGCTGCAGCTGGCCCAAGTCAAGTGACTTGGGCTGCAGAGCTATAAAATTGCAGTGTAGATGTTTGAGATCAGGCTGGAGCCTGGGCTCTGAGACCCCATGAAGGGGGAGGGTCTCAGATCCTGGGCTCCAGCCCAAACCCTAACATCTACACTGCTACTGGTAGTCCCGCAGCCCAAAGCCCGCATGCCCGAGCCATCTGACCCCAGGCTCTGAGACTTGGTGCCAGGGGTATTTTATCACAGTGTAAATGTACCCTTTGAGTCCGTGATTCAGGACGGGAGGCTGACTCCTCACTTGTCCCCACCCACATCCAGTCTTTGTTACAAGACCTTACGAAGATTTGTTAGCATTTTAATCTTCCAGTGCAATGTTTCTTACTCACTCCGTCCGTCTGAGTGACACATGTTCACCATTGTTGCTGAGTCTGGCTGGTTTTTGAGGGTGCGCAGAGCACTGTGATTCAGTTGACGATCAGCCGGCCTGGACTGTTCAGTAAGTGCCTTGCTATGGTCCTCTTGAGCCCAGCCCCAGGACATCCTCTGCCACTTTCAGCTGCAGGGGTGTTCTGTTCATGAGCTCAGTGGTTTCTGGTTTGTTATCAGTAAACTGTTAATGCTGGTCACATGACACTAAAAGCATTCCAGGGAGGGACTGTCACGTCTGTATTCGAGTATGTAACTGCCAGGCAATCCTGAGCCAAGGCCTACACCTCCAAGAACCCACGCCTTCTTCAGGGCGTCTTCTGTTCTGCAATACAGCACTGCACTGTGTGCTGAACAAACAGCTTCTTTGGGATTTTCCTCCCAATGGGTAAGAGGGGATGGACTTTCCTTTGCCTCCTTGTTGGAACACCTCCCTTTTCTTACCTGCATTGCCACCCTCATCCCACAGCCAGTGGTTCTGGAACAATTTTTACAGTGTGGGTGCTGAAGGCGGAAACCATGTATTTGGGTTGATAAACACTACTTCAAGCCAGGGGCTCTGGCAGCACCCTTAGTTTTAGCACCACAGCTGCAGATTTCCATTCCCTTCGAACCTGTCCCTTCTGCTCCTTAGCAGGCCAGCTGGATTGCTGCTGGGGGCACTCCCTTCTCCCATCAGGGACTATGAATGCTGCCTCTACAGCTCTTCCCTTCTGGGCTGGCTTGGAGCAAAAGGTCAGAATGGGACCAACCCTTAGGCTCTGATCTGGCAGTGCAGAGCACTAACCTTTCCAAGGCAAATCCCACTCTTGTCTTACGCTCCAATCCCAGCATCACCTGAAGCCATTTCGTTCTTCCCAACATGTAGAGCGTTGAAAGTATCGCGGAAGGCAGAAATTCTGTCGCCACTGGGAGCTCTCTATTACAACACAGGGCGGTATGAAGAAGCTTTACAGGTTTACAGGGAAGCCGCAGCACTGCAGCCTTCAAACAAGGAGATTCGACTGGCACTGGTGAGTGTGTGATGAGAAAGTTGGTGACAGGGTTATGTTAGCATTTAGAAATATTATCCAAGGCGTGGGGGTTTGAGGGGGTTCAGCCTCAGCCTGGCACTCTTTCCACATGGATGATAATTACTGTGAGCTTTCCCTACAGCAGGCAACTGAACAAGTCTTGGTTTTAATTTTGTCCTGAGGTAGGAAGGGGTCTTCCTCATCTGTGTCCAAGCCCAGAAAATTGCCCTCCCACTCTTTTGTCTTCTCACACCTTTAGGTCCCATATTGTAGCCACCACCCTTCTAGCTGAGGAGGACCAGAAGTGACTTGCTCCAGAGCCAGCCAGGCCTGCTTCTTGTTGACTTGAGGGCATATTATTGAGCAAAGCCCGGTCATTCCTTCTGTCCTCCAGGTGGTGCCGAACCATTGCCATTAACACTTCCACCTTCTGCCTTGCCAGAAAGCAGGATGCCAGGACTAGATGCTGGGTCCCGTGCTTAGCAGTGCATGATAGCTGGGCCCACTGTATTGACTCTGATCTTACCAGCCAAGCAGGCTAGCCTAAGTTTTCACAGCTCTTTTGACATCAGCGTGTGACGAAAGAGGAGTGTCATAAAAAGGGATGAAAACTCTTGTTTACTATTGATCTCTAGGCACAGGTTTTAGCAATGATGGGACAAACAAAGGAAGCTGAAAAAATGACTAACCATATTGTGACAGAAGAGGCCAAGTGTCTAGAATGCTACCGCCTTTTATCAGCCATCTACAGCAAGCAGGAGCATTATAGCAAGGTACAGTGAACTCCGTGTGCTGCTGTCCCATACACCCAATCAAAGGGCTTGGGATGAATTTTCATCTCTGTACAGCCAAAGGCTAGATCATATCCTGAGATGTGCATAGCAAGGGCATGTAGCCACATCAGTGACTGATACACTTTGTGCAGGTAAAGCTGGGTTGCTTTATCTGATGCTTCCATTCACCTAGGTCAGTGTTTCTCAAACATTTTGATACAAGGGGCCAGCTTGCTGCCTTCCTGAACTGTGTCAGGAAACTCTCAGGGACCAGCGCCAATCCACGGACTGGTTGTTGAGAAACACTGGTCTAGAAATAGGATTGAAGGCCAAGAGCTTGAGTTTTTTTTCAGAGGTGTTGAGTACTCAGCTTCTACTGACTCCAGCTGACGGGGACTGGTCAGCACCTTGGAAAATCAGGCTGTGAGCTACTAGAGTTTCAATTTCTGAATGTGGTAAGAGTCCTCAAGGTAAACAGAAATCTGGGGCGCAGGGTGATGATGCTGTGTACTGCTCAGTGGCTCATGTGCTCCAATACCATAGTGATGGGCACAGGAGAAGAACCGGGATAGAATAGAATATTGTGTCCTCTCTCTCTTTCTGCAGGCCCTTGAAGCTATAGATAAAGCTCTGCAGCTAAAACCAAAGGATCCAAAAGTCCTATCGGAGCTCTTTTTTACTAAAGGAAATCAGCTAAGAGAACAAAACCTTCTTGACAAGGCTTTTGAGGTATAGCAAGCAACCACTCTAAAGCACACGGCTGTGTTTATAGTTCAAGAACTGAGCTCACTAGCTGAAATTAACATTCAGCAGAGAGCATGCATGCTGCTTATTCACTTATATAGCTCATCTGGTCACCATATAGGACAGCTGGGATTATGGAAGGGTAGTATCAATTCCATAGTTAAAGTTACAACAGTGTTCTCTCCGCCTCCTTTCCTTTTTGAAATACTCCTACACAAAAAAAGTCTCCCTCCAATTTGGTAGATTACTTGTGAAGCCAAGGGATAGCTCTCTAGCTATTAGAGATCATAAATTTAAGTCCTGAATCATAAGGTTTAACACCCTGTCCAAATTCTCTGTTATAATTAATTAGAACTCTGAGTATACTTGTAATCCATATAAATGTCCAGACGCTCTTTGAATCCTCCTCAGTTATGATGTCCCAAAAATAGAAGTGATCATCAGAGTCCAGAGTTTTTTTTAATGATTTCCCTCCACCTTTGTAGAAGCAAAATAAGGGGGAAGCTACCTACGGTCCTTATTAAATCTGCACACAGGTATCTGTGTTGTAAGAAAGGCTGTAGCCATTCATATGTTAAAACCTTGCCAATGTTCTCTCCCTCCCTGCACACATACATGCTGATGTGGAGTTATGGAGATGCTTTTCTTATAAGGTAAATACCATGTGCAGAAGGTAGCTGTAAAGTGCAGAGCATCCCTGCAGGTCAGGATCAGCAGACGATAATGCACTATCCTGGAAGTTGCCTTGATTCCCTGCAGGACTCTGCAGACAAAGCAAATTCCCCCAGATAGGCCCTTTGGGGAAATGGTCGCTTCATTTGTATCCACTTAAGACTCTGAAACAACGCACATTTTGTATGTAAGAAAAATCAAGAAAGAAAACAATCATATTTTAAAGAGATTGGTGGGGGGGAGTTATTTCACCCCTAATGTGGCTTTTAGTCAGGGACACAAGCATCTTAACCTGAAGACATTTCATATTTATTTAGAGCTATAAAGTGGCTGTGGAGCTGAACCCAGATCAAGCTCAGGCATGGATGAACATGGGAGGGATTGAGCATATCAAGGTAGGAAAGTCCCTTGCTTTTCTGCTGGCTGTCAAGCAAAGGGACTATTTCTGTTCTTCAGAATACATTGCTGGACTTGCCTTCAGGCAGCTAAGAAGTGCATGTTCAGTGTGTCTTTTTTTGTCCCCCCGCTGAGTTGGATCCAAAGAGGATGCGAGTCTGTTACAGCACCAGCTAGAGATACTGGCTCTAACTCAAGTTGTAGAGATTTGTGCCTTTAGCTCTGGAAAGCCCTAGTTCAGTCCCTGGTGTGTTGGTCAAAATGGCTGTCATCACACAGGTATCCAGTGGATCTTGGCATGACATGGTGGGGGAGGGCACCTGGATCGAGCACTAAATCAGAGGGGAAAATAGCAGCAATATGGAACCCTGAAGGGCTGTCTCCCTTCAGAGAAAGGTTGATCATTCAAGAAGTGGGTAGGAAAACATCGGAGGTGGAAAGGCTGGGAGCATAGTCCGTCTTTTGAAAGGGGTGCTCCTTCATTAGCAAAGCTGTGCTTAGCCCATAATCTACAATGTGTGTTTTTAAACTGTTGGATAAGTATTTCCAGTCTATGCAGTTGAGAATCAGCCCTTTAAATTCCACCTTACCTAATCCACTTGATGATAGTGTCTAATGCATAATACTGACACCAGTTGATGGAAATATCGTGACAAGACATGTGATTTCATACTTGTATGATTACTGTAGCATAATTATTCTGAATGTCCTAAAGATATTAGTTTAACTCATATTTTACATGTCTTCTACTTGGACATTATAGCATTGTTTAAATCTGCTTCTTGCCATGTCCCTATTCACCTAATTTAGGCACAGAGAGAGTCCTTCTGAAATACCAGTTGATCAATTTAATAGTGAGTGGAGTGTTGCTGTTTCAAAACATGTCATACACACTTTATAAATTGCTTTCTCCATCCATTATGGATCTTGCTGGTCTCAGGCAATGATGTTTCAATGTCAGAGAATATGAATGACACTTTTTCCCCCTTTTATAGGGAGATTACGTCAATGCACGTAGCTATTACGAGAAAGCTTTACAACTGGTTCCAAACAGTAAGCTGCTGAAGGAGAATCTGGCTAAACTGGATCGCTTAGAGAAACGATTGCAGGAAGTCCAGGAGAAAGATCAGACGTAGCTAGTGGAAGGACTGTTGTGCCCCTTGCAGAAGAAAGAGAAGTGGAAGCCCATTGGCAGAAGTGACACAGAAGGAGCTGTGATGTGACTCAGAATTAAGGAGGGCAAATTTGGGGTGCACATTTGTGTATCACCAAAGTTGCTAGAGACCCATCATTTCTATAGGGTATGCTGAAAAATGAGTGAAAACCCTCTTTTAATCAAGATTTATGTTTGGGTTGGATGCATATCACTGCCATTAGTGCTGTAAGTGGGAGATGCACCTTTGATGTCCTGGTCTCTCACTTCCCAAGCTGGGTGGGCTGTAGAGGCAAAGTTCTCATCCACTGTGGCAAGGGATGGAGCAGTGCCTCTTGTTAGTCAACACTCACCCATCTAGCCCGCTTAAGGAGTACTATTAATGGTCTCTAAAGAATGCCCCATAAGGTCCTCCTCAGCCAGGACAATGGTGACAATGATCAGCAGAGAGCATCAAAGGTCGTTACAGGGTCAAAGCTGAGAGAAATGGTGGCCATTTTTAGGTCTCCAACAATGACTTGAAAATGACCCCAAGGAAATGGAGAATGATGTCTGGACATGGCTGTCTCTGAAAGTGGTGATTCTATGACTAGGGCTGCTAGTCCTTTGAGGAAAAACCTCAGTTGAATGGTTTACTCTGAAGATAATCATTTTTGTAACTGTTCAGATTCATGATATCACAAAATTGTCAGAAATCACATGACTTTTTTTCACCCAATCAGAATTATAATTTCTATGAAAAATTGGAACTGTCCGATGGAAATATGGAATTCTTTAATGGCTCCACCTCCCTCTGTCCCCCACCCCGCCCCAAATCTATATTTTTAAATACTGAGTGGAAAGGCAAGTTTGCTTCAGAATATGGACATTTATTTTTGAGTGTTATTTATTTTTAACTTATAATAAAATGTTTAATATATTTTACTGTGTTTATAAGAGTTGGACAACATCCCTCACAACTGGCAATGTGGCTTGTGATTGTTGCTTTTATTGTATAAAGTTAGAAAATACGCACCACAAGGTTGTGTTTGAATAATTCTCCCTGCTGATATTTCTAAAGCAATTGGATATAGGACCAAATTTTCATTCATTCATTACCATTGATTTGTAGGGTTGTACCAGTTCAGCTGAGATGAGCGTTTGATCTGTTGTCAATAGAGGTAGCTGAGAAGGTTAGCTGGGGCAGTGTAGTGATGTGAGCTCATCTCACAAGTTTATTGTTTTCATCTTAGCCCCCATCAGGAAACCATCATACAGTTTGTTTCAGCCTGATTGCCATAACTTTGCTGAAGAGAAGCGCAGGTCATGGAATTAATAGCGGATGGTTCAGGTGGGGACTAAAGTGCATTGATACAGCTCTTTCAGGGAAGGGGAAGCTGTCCTGGCCCCCCAGGATAGTAAAAATCTGGGGGGAAATTTCTCTCTCTCATCCCTCCCTTGCACCCGTGCATCCTTTATATAAAATACTCATTTGTCACTGAAGTTAAATAGGTGTTAACAAAATCAGACAAAACAGAGTTTTTCGAAGTGTGATTTTAAATCTCTTCCCCTTTCCATTGCTCAGTTTTCTGTCTCTTGACTCTTGTGATGTCATCATTTCACTAGTTCTGTTATCGTAGGCTTTGTCTGGACTAGCATTTGTCCTCCTGTAGTAATTGACTGTAAATGCTAATCTAGACACCAACATTTGCAGAGTATCAGGACATGGGGGCTCAGCCTTGGGCAAACCACAAAACTGTGCGCTCCAGAACAAACATTTGTGGAGCGCCTCAGTTATCAACATAATTAGCATTTATGATCAACTAGCTCCAATTATAACAAGGCCACCAGCTCTAGTCTAGACAAAGCATGAGCCCCAGGCTAGACAGGACCTGGATTTTTAATATAAAAGGAGGCAACATAAATGTATCTTGCCTCCCCAAAACAAACATATAAACAAAAAAAACCCACATGGAATCCCAAATCGTCATGCCTTCTTTACACATTAGAAGAAAATCAAACAAAGGTACAGTCTCAGTTATTGCCCCTTTACAGATTACCTTTAAAAATGAAATGATCCTTTACATTCCTAATTTCTCCAAATCAGGGTAACTGCCGACTTGATGGGGCTGAAAGACTGGATCTGGGTGTGAAAATTTGTCCCTTTCCACCATTGCATGTACATACAGAACAGAGAGCTGGGAGCACAACAGAATAGGTTAGGGTAAGAGAAAGCTGATTGGGGAAAGAGGCCCTCAAAAAAACCTTGTCTTGAAAATAGCCACAGGGTGGGTTTAGTAGTCAAGATTTTTGAGGTTGTTTAAGTGATATACAGTTCCACTAAAAAAATAATGTAACATCCAAATTTTACACTTATAACTTTTTTTTTTTTTTTTTACTCATACGTGGGGCTCAAAGTATGGCTCTGATGCTGATATTATTCTCTTGGGATTAATTGTGGATAATTTCCACCACCCATTTCCCTTTTGGGGAAGCAATGATTCAAAAGCTATTCAGGGACTGGGGTAGAATTTATGGTACAAATTTAGGCCATTTGATCAAGAGGTTCCCAATATATATCCTTCCCCTGCATTATGAGCTTCTTTCAATTTTCATAGTACTCTAAAATCCACATGCATAATGAGATTATCTAAAATATTGGTACGCCACAACAGGGGCAGTGGTGCAAGTTTGGAGTAATTTGGTTCAGGCGTTCCTCAGATACTGTTCTCTCCCCCTGCCCGCCCCTCCCCCCCCGTAAGAAGAAGCTTTTAATATTCCAGTTGCTCTAAAACCGATGTTCATAGTGAGATTACCTTGAACAATGATATTCCACAACTGAAACTGAGGTGGAGGGGAACTTCCATTGAGATGACTGGGTCATTTCACACCACCCAGAGCTATTGTGTTAGACTGTTAATCTCTTTGGAGCATCCTAATTCATCTGAGTATACCCCACTGAGCTGAATGGGCCATTCCACACATCAACAGTATGCCTGTACTGCAGAGGGCTTTGCAGAGCCCCTTCCTTTACACTAGCTCCCTGAAGTCGATACAAAGTCTGGGGCTCCCTGCTATTCCTCTTGCTGCCTCCAGCTGGTAGACAGCCCATCAGTTACCATCCTCCTTTCTTCCCATGGCCCTTCCAGCCCTACTGGGGGCATGGTGGGACCAGGAGGAGGGCAGAGCTGGTAGCTAAAGTGGCAGATCATTCCCTTCCCGCGGGTGGCCTCCAATCATACCCCCTCACTAACACCTCTTCCTCAAGAAACAAGGGAAATTAACTGCCCAAAAACGTGGTTAATACAGGCCTTGTTTATACTACAGCGCCTTTGCCAGTATAGCTATGCCAGCTAGACTCACCCCTGCTTAGTACCCTCTTCCATTCAAGAAGTGCGTTTCAGATTCTTACTGGCACTGCCAGTCCGACGTGCCTTCTCTGGCTTGTCAGATTGGGTTTACACCTGCTGGTGAACCACAGCACCACTCATTAGACTGCTTCCCAGGCTGATGAACCACCTGTGTTTCATTAATTTTATACCAGTGTAACTCCGCTGTTTTCATTGGGGTCGCTCCTGATTTACACTGCTGCAAGTGAGGAGAGAATCAAGTGAGGCACTGACTCCAAGCACCCGTGGAAAAAAATAGTTGGGATGATCAGCATCCACCAACCACAACCATTCAGCTGGGCTGCCATTCAGCTGTTCGGCAGCTGGCATGAGACCTTGAGGGAAGGGGCAGAGCAGGGACAGAAAGAGGTGGAGGGAGGGTGGGGCCTCGGGGGAGGAGGCAGAGTGGGGCGGGGCCTCGGGGCAGAGTGAGGGTGGAGCACCCACTGGGAAAAATGTCAGCGCCTATGTGGTATGGCATGCAAGGCTGCACCACCGGCCCCTGCAGGCGTGGTTAGCTTCAGTGTACTCACTGAAAAGATGCCACTTGGACTCAGTACTTACAGTTCCACCCGGGTGCTCGGCTGGTCGAAGGACCCCGGTTGGCAATGGCAGGTGTTCCCTTTGTTGCTCCCCCAGCCATCAGTGTCCCTAGTGTTGGATGCTTCAGACCTAGGCTGGGGAGCCCACCTTGATCCCCTCAGGACACGGGGCCTGTGGTCACAGGAAGAGCTCTCCCTGCATATGAATGTCAGGAAGCTCAGAGTGGTCTGCTTAACTTACCAAGTGTTTCTTCCCCAGATCACAGGCAAGGTAGTTCAAGTACTGACAGACAACACCACGGCCATGTTCTACATCAACAAGCAGGGAGGAGCAGGCTCCTCTGCCCTATGTCAGGCCATGTCTACACTACCGGCTAAATCGGCACCACTGCAATCAATGCAGCGGTGTCAATTTAGCAGGTCTGGTGAAGACATACTAAGTTGATGGCAGAGTGTTCTCCTGTCGACATCTGTACTCCACCTCCCCAAGAGGTGGAAGCTATGTCGACGGGAGAGCATCTCCCATCAACATAGCGCAGTGTAGACACCACTGTAAGTCAACCTAAGTTACGTCAACTTCAGTTCTGTAACTTATGTAACTGAACTAGCGTAACTTAATTCGACTTACAATGTTAGTGTAGACCAGCCCTCAGAAGGTCTATCTCGCAGTTCCATACCAAACAAGCTTCAGTCTTCTTCCCGAAGCCACTCAAGAATTCAGAAGAATGATGGCTTCACTCATTGGATGTTAGGCATGCCCTCGCCTTCTACTTCGAGAGGACTAAACCTTTTCATAGATCCACACAACTGTGTGGTAATAGCAGAGAGGATGAAAGGCCTACCGGTTTCAGCCCAGAGAATCTCATACTCCTGTGGCATGCTACGAGCAGGCGAATGTTCCACTGCTTGCCATTTTGACAGCTCATTCCATGAGACCTCAGACCCCATTTCAGGCCCAGGTTCCGATCCAAGACATCTGCAGGGTTGCAACCTGGTCGTCAGTGCATACCTTTTCATCCCACTCTACCAACAACGAGGAGTCTGGTGGCACCTTAAAGACTAAAAGATTTATTTGGACATAAGCTTTCATGGGTAAAAAACCCACTTCTTCCATGCATCTGAAGAAGTGGATTTTTTACCCACGAAAGCCTATGCCCAAAAAAATCTGTTAGTCTTTAAGGTGCCACCAGACTCCTCGCTGTTTTTGTGGACACAGACTAACACAGCTATCCCTCTGATACTTGATCCCACTATACCATCACCTAACAGGCTCAAGATGACATCAAGTTCGGGAGAGCAATGTTACAGAATGCGTGTCCATGAACTCTGAGCCCACCTCCTTGGGTACTGCTTGTGAGTCACCTAACATGGAATGGACATGAGCAAGCACTCGAAGAAGAAAAAACAGCTACTGACCTTCTGTAACTGGTGTTCTTCGAGATGTGTTGCTCACGTCCATTCCACAAACCACCCTCCTACCCCAGCACCAAATGGTGCTGGAGTGCACTGAGGGAAAAATCGCTGGCAACGGTGCATGGGGTGCACGCACACAGCTAACATGGAATGGACATGAGTAACACATCGCAAAGAACAACAGTTACGGAAGGTCAGTAAGAATTTTTTCCCCAGCTCAGTCGGACTGTGGAGATGTCCAGGGGCATGCCTCTAACAGCTGGATGGGGACTGATGGAGACTTCACGTTCCTGTGCTTCTCCCTCCTGATCATCTTCACTTTATAAAGTGAACAGTTCAAACCAGGGCCAAGTAAACTGCAAGTGTGTGTCTGGGTTGGCATTTGGGGACCTGTTCACACCTGGCAAAATTATATTATTACCCTTCTATCTCCTCTACTTGCATTATTGCTCCTACTTATCTTTTAGGGACAGATCAGCAGCAGTTCTCTTGTCACTCATCCTTGGATGATTCTGCTCCCCAGCCTGGTCATGGCTGTTGGGTCATTTAGCAGGTGACTTCTGGGTTTCCCCCGAGACATCTTCCACTCGGTTCTCCAATAATTCAGTCTGACTCCAGTCTCGTCATTCAGGTTTCTTTATTTGGCAGCAAAGCAATGCTGAGATGATCAGACTCAAGCATATGGTGTAGGTATAGGACATAGCACACATCCAATAAGTTACACAGTAAGCCTCTTTCTTTATATACATTTACTATACATTGCATCACACATTTTGAAATTGGCTTGGTCACTTTGTAGGAACCAATCCCTGTACAACCAAGCTCTGCCCACGCACTGTCCACGCACTGTCCATGCACGACTGACTCTTTACCTAATCTTATGTTTCAGCCTTATTTTCCCCATTGTAGATGGTTCCCTGGGTGTTCCCCCTTATCTTAGCTAGTACGGACATTCTGCTTCCATCCTGCTGATCCATTTACCATCTTAATCCTGTTTCCCAAGAAATGAGGCCTCACCCATGTCCAGTTACTCATGTCAAGGCAGGCTATTTGCATGAAGTAGCTACATAGTGTCGACCTTTCCCTAACACAGTAAAGGAATTGCCAGGCTCCCCGACTTAGAGTTGCCGTAGAGCAGTCAGAATTGGCCTCCCTGGGAGTCAGGCTGGCAAAGCCCCATGGAAGGCTATGAGGGCAAAATGAGTGCTAAAGTGGTTTTTGAGGCCTGCCAGTTCTCCCACAGTAGAATTTTAGTTAGTTCATAACAAAGTTTCAGAGCTCAAACAATGTGCATATATCCATAGAAGCCCATAGCGCTTTAAACCATTGGAAGAATACCGTATAGTGAGAACTACAGGTTTTCCATCAATATGTACCATGGAGGGAGTGACTCCATTATAGTGGGAGTATGTGAAAGGGTTGAACAGGAGGCATCATACAGGTGAAGCTCTCTCCCTTTTGCCCTGCAGAACCTAATTTCTTAGCACCAGCACCAAGGTTTCCTCTTAGAAGTGTAACTTGTCAAAGCAGAGCACAGAGATTAACCCACTCAACTCCCCTTTAAGCTCAATCACACCCTGATCCTGCAAAGGGCAGATCCTTAAAACAAACGGCTAAGGGGAGAAATGATAGAGGTCTATAAAATCACAACTGGTGTGGAAAGTAAATAAGGAAGTGTTATTTACTCTTTCTCATAACACAAGAACTAGGGGTCACCAAATGAAATTAATAGACAGCAGGTTTAGAACAAACAAAAGGAAGTATTTTTTCACACAATGCATAGTCAACCTGTAGAACTCCTTGCCAGAGGATGTTGTTAAAGCCAAGACTATAACAGGGTTCAAAAAAGAACTAGATAAGTTCATGGAGGATAGGTCCATCTATGGCCATTTGCCAGGATGGACAGGGATGGTGTCCCTAGCCTCTGTTTGCCAGAAGCTGTGAATGGGCGACAGGGGATGGATCACTTGATGATTACCTGTTCTGTTCATTCCCTCTGGGGCACCTGGCATTGGCCACTATCAGAAGACAGGATACTGGGCTAGATGCACCATTGGTCTGACCCAGTATGACTGTTCTTATGCCCACATAGAGACTCATTGAAATCACTGGGGCTCAGGATGGGGGGCAATGGGTTGCTGTGTGGATAACTTTGTAGAACTGGGGCCTTAGTGCCCAATCTTGTGAGGTGTTTGCACCATCAATTAACTTCCACTGAGATTAAGGTGGGTGCTCAGCATCTCACAGGAAGGGCCCTTTGCACATGGCATGCTCGGATCCTGAGTGAGAAGGATACTATTGAACAGTATCCCGTGCTGGACGTTGGCAGAGCTATTGTTTATAAAGATGCTTGTATCAATGCCACAAGCTATCCCATGAGCCAAAGCTTTCTGAGATGAGTTTACTGTAGCCCAACAGCACTTTGACATCTAGCCGAAGACCGCTGAGAATGCAGGCGGGAAGGTATTAGGGGCAGGGTGGATGGGAGAATCTTTTGTTTTTAAAAATTGTATAAAGTAGACACTGAGCCTCAGAAAAGTAAGACAGACAGAAATAAAGAAGATATATTCTCCATGCCCCACACATATGGCTTTAAAATGTGACCAATTATATTATTTTTCAAATGAAAAAAAAGTTGTATATTTTTAAACAATACTTTGAGAGGGGAAGGGAGTTTGTTTAACTGAAAGTTTTGTGTGTCCTTTCTGACTGACCTAATGGGAGGGCTGTGTGGTTATCACAATAGCATTCAATCAAGGCCATCCCATCCTGTTAAAACTTGTATTTGTGCAAATGTAGAATAGATTTCTCATGTCCCTCCCGGATCCAGGAGAAGATATTGGCCCTGACCAATAGGAGACACGCAGTGCTGTTCCAATGCTAGCTTCTCAGATGAGCAACCCAGGGAAACCCACCCAGCATGAGGTGGTTGGTTTGGCTAGAGGGCATGTTTGTGCTCATTGTATTGTCATCTCTGCCTGTCTTTGGTCTTGTACATTTCAGTTGCCTGCCAAGGCACAAGAATAATGCTCTTGTAAATTTGGCTGGCAACATGTTGATATGCAAAGCGGTTTAACCCCACCCTTTTCACAGCTGTGAAAGGCTGTGTATTGCCCCTCATGAAACAGGTTTAAGGCAACCTTTGGGAGAGGAGGAGCTCATTTAAATAATCCCTCTTTCCCTAACCAGCACTTTATGGCCCAAACCCAGCCAAATAATAGTGTAGAAACTGTGTATTCTGCATCCTGGCAGAGTCCTTGGGGAACTGACTAAAGCCATGATCCTGCAAAGCAGTTAAGCATGTGCGTAGCTCTAAGCTCACCAGTAATCCTATTGGCTTCAACGGGACTACTTCCGTAAAGTGCTTTGCTGGATCAAGGCAGTTATCTTGTGAAAGGCTTACTGCAGATAAG